GTGTGTGCTCTACTGTGTCTATTTTCCTGCAGTAATGACATTCATTTCTCTCTGTGACGGGGAACCTATATCGGTATGCCTGAAAACACCCGTGTCCAGCTGTTTAAGGTAGTATGAGACCTCGCCATGGTTCAATATTGGGAATTAGCCTTTTCGTCCAATGACTTATTTTATAAGTTTCTCTTTTCCATTCTTGCTGCCATTTCTGAATTGTGTGGTCAGTACCCACTCTTTTATCCATGCCATTTCGCATAGCACAACTTTCTTCCACTAATAGATGGCAATAGGTGTTCTGGCGATGACCAATAATGCATCCGTTGAGGTTGTTCGGTATGCGTTGTTACTTTTCTTTGAACTTTTAGGAGAGTGTTCCTATATAGTTGTTTTTCCATGGCTCATTTCCATGTCGTTGCCCCATAAAGTATTATGGACAGCTACGCTGCACAAAATTCTCCGGTTTATTTCTCGTGGTCCTCCAGTGTTGGGTATTCTGCTAATATTTTCTACGGCCCTTTCCGCTTTTTTAGCCACATTTTTGACATGTTGTCCCATTATCATGTTATGGTCAAAGTATACTCCAAGATATTTGACTTCCTTCTGGCTCGTTACTGTTACGTCTTGCACCATAACATTGATTTCCTTGACGGTGCGCCCTCCTGCTAAGATAACCATCTAAGTTTTTTGTGGGGCTAGGGCTAGTCTTTTTGCTTTCAACCATTGTGTTATATTTTTTAGGACCTCATTTGCTGTTGTTTGCAGCTTTTCCGCATCTTTCCCCGTCACTATTATGCTTACATCGTCCGCGTAACCTACTAGCTTCACCTCGCGTGATACCGGGAGTTTTAGGATGCCATCGTAGTACATATTCCATAACATTGGTCCTATAACCAAGCCTTGTGGTACTCCGCACGTCATCCTTCTCATTTTTCCTTCTGTCCCTATGAGGAACCACCTGTCTTCTAGATAGCTGGCCACTAGGTTATACGTTTGTGGGGTTACACCTCGGTTTCTCAGTTCCTCTAGAATTCCATCTCACGAGGCAGAATTAAAGGCATTTTTTACATCTATTGTAATGAGGGCACATCTTTTTCTGCCTGCTCTTTCATTTGCCTCGTCTGCTATTTGCTGAAGTTTTTCCATAGCGTCCATGGTTGATCTGCCCTCTCGGAAACCATTTTGTTCACTAGACAAATCACCGTTTATTTCTATTTCCTTCTTCAGCCTTCCTAGGAGAAGATGCTCCATCAATTTTGCAAATACATTAAGGAGACAGATAGACCTATATGTCCTGTTTGTTTGTTCTCTTCTGTGTTTTTCCAGAAGTACCAGTTTTGCTACTTTCCATTGTTTAGGGAACGTACCTTTCAACCAACATCTGTTAAAAATCTCTAGAATGTATCCTGTGTGGTTTTTAACTACCACCTTCACCACCTCTGCAGGTATGCCATCAGGGCCCAGGGCTTTCTTCTCCTTTAACATATTACTGGCTTCTAACAGTTCGTCCTTTGTGAAGGAAAGTATGTCTTGTTCCCTTACTGGCATTCTTTCCCACTTTCAGATCAGGTGTGTCGAGAATAACTCCTGTGCCACTATTATTTGTTGTTCGTTGTCTAAGGTTATCGGAGCGTTTCCTTTATATTTGTCCATGACAATTTTATACCCTTTACCCCATACATCCAGGTCCACTTCTTGCACCAGTTTTTTCCATGCATTCTTTTTAGATTCCGCGATAGCTTTCTTAAGGATGGTCCTATTTTCTCGGTATATTTCCGTACACTCTTGCTTTATGTTTGAGTTCTTGTTTTCATTTGCCCTAGTCATGGCTCTTTTGGCTTGTAAGCATATTTTCCTTTTCTCTGCTACCTGTTCTGTCCACCAGTAGACAGGCTTTTTATTTCGCCCGATTGTTTTTTTTTGCATGCTGCCGTGATGATTTTGGTAAGCAGTTCCTCGTCTAGGTCTTTATTGGGACTTCTAATCCTGCACCCACTTCTTGGACCAGGTCGCCAAGTTTACTTTTAGTAATTTTCCAGCTTTTGCTTTTATTAGAGGTATTTGGATGCATTATATCTATAGCTAAGTATCTCTACTTCTAGGACCCTCCAATTAACTACACTTTTACTTTTACTGTGATGTTTTTTGCTAAAGATGATATATATAAAGGATGTGCTGTTTTCTCTTATGAATTTCGGCTTGCTTCCTTGATTATGCACGATCAGATCTTCCTCAGCTAGCCATTCTGACAGTACTTGACCTCTGCGGTCCTCTACGTTAGAGCCCCATAGGTAGGATTCGGAATTGAAGTCACCTCCAACAACTATTTGTTTGGTCTTCTGTAGCGACATACTTGCACTACATATCTTTTTCATTTTCATTTTCATTACGTCATACACATTAAATTGCCGTCATCATTTAGATAACCTTTCGTGGCAGTTCTAGCGAAGACAAAAGGTTGAACTCATCGCGAGGGAAACAAAATATTGTTTATAATAATAAGGACTTTAGATTTTACAATTTTATATACATGTCATGACATACAATTTATTTTAAAATTATATTTTCATGAATTCGTATTTATTTATTGATGGGATATACCACATATAAAGATCCCACAATTGGTGACCCCGTAGAATGCCCGACCTTCAAAGATTTTGAGGATACATCTATCTGATACTATTTGTTGGTGAGATACTTATGGGTAGTACGCGTTAGCGACGGCTTTATTTTTGGCCGTACCTCGGTTTTTTGAGCCTGCTGCGGTTCCCGATAACCCGGATTCTTTAACGGGCCCTACTAAGAAGAAATGTAGATCCAGTACGCCTCCGGAAAATTCCGAAAAGTTCCGAACAAGATACGTGGATTGGACTCCAGATACATTAAACCCGGTGAGTTTAATCTTTTTGTCGCTGACTGCCACGAATTGAAAATATTCATTTTTTCTATCATTAGTTATCATTTTTGACATTATTTTCATATTTTTGACCATGTAAAAAGCATTTTAACCGACTATTTATTTAATAAACCCTACAAATGACCAATTCTAATCATGACGACTTAATTAAGAAAATAACGTACAAATTAACGAAACGCAAATGAGCACTACATAACCGAAGTCATGCAACTAACATTTTTTATTACGGACCCTAATTATCCAAATATATGCAACCAGTAGTTAAATTAAGGACTTTAATTGTCCAACTACATGTAACTAGTGTATTTAATATTTTTTTATTCTATTAAGGACCATAATTGTCCAAAAGAACAATAAAATCAGTATTTACTTATATCTTGTATTGACAGTATTCTTCGCATAAGGAAGAACCTGTCTGCATAATAGTAATTACTAAATAAAAACAAATAACTTATCAAATAGGTACATTTTTTGCACATTGATAAAAAACAAATAACTGAATGAAAAGGAAATTTTAACTTATCAAATAGGCACATTTACACATTGATATTTAAAGAATAAATATTTAAAAAAAAAAAAACAAAAAATATTTCTATTTGTACGTCATGATTAACATTACTTTTTATTAGATCGTAGAATTTTTTAACTATTAATGCCTTCTTTTCGTTAATGTTTTTCTATTTAGGACACTAATTATCCTGATAGTATGGTAATTCTTAATTGTATCAATGGCAGTATTCTTTATATAATAGAAAGAACCTGCTAGATAACATAGAATTACTAAACACTTAACAACGGGGCAATTTCGATAATCAAAGAATGGATAATTCATCCAGAACACGATCTAAAATACAACATTATTTATAGAAAATACTGACATTACTGATGACATATTTTTGACAATTAAATTAAAAATTTCAATCAATTTCATATACAGAGTCATATTAAAATTTTGTTTTGATTAAGGTGAAGGTACTCGTAGATATAGAATTATGCAACAGTCAACACCTTATCGACTTTTGATGACTGACAATACATTTTTTATATAAGGGGGAGGTATGTAGCGACATACTTGCACTACATATCTTTTTCATTTTCATTTTCATTACGTCATACACATTAAATTGCCGTCATCATTTAGATAACCTTTCGTGGCAGTTCTAGCGAAGACAAAAGGTTGAACTCATCGCGAGGGAAACAAAATATTGTTTATAATAATAAGGACTTTAGATTTTACAATTTTATATACATGTCATGACATACAATTTATTTTAAAATTATATTTTCATGAATTCGTATTTATTTATTGATGGGATATACCACATATAAAGATCCCACATCTTCCTTTTCATGTCTTCACGTAGTGCCTCTAGTAAGTTTGTGTATATCTCTAGGTTGACATTTGGTGAGATGTAGCATCCGTAAATTATGACTTCCTCTATTTCTACCAATGTGAATCCATCTCCAGTTCCTTTATCCGCTATTTTTAGTTGGGATCTCTTATGATTATTGCAAGGTCTACTTTATTATCTACATGTAATTTTCCCTGGGTAGTTTTTTTCTTGTTTGGTTCCGCGACTATGATAACATCGGCTTTTTCATCTTCGGCTGTTTTGTAAAGTAGTTCCATTGCCTCCCTTCCTCTATCTATGTTTCTTTGTAAGACTTTTATAATTGGCTTGTATCCGGTCCCTTTTCTCCTTCCTCTGCTCTTGTAACAGCCTTCTGTACTCCGGGCATTTCATCGTTTCTGTTCTGTGTCCTTTTGTGTTGCACAAGTAACATTTTTGCTCGTTTTTGCATTCTCTTCTGTGATGTGCCTTCTCCCCGCAGTTGTGGTAGAATTCGTTACTGTCTTTCTTGTCGCACTTATTTACAATATGTCCTATTCTGTGACACCTAAAGCACTTCGGAAGAGCTTCCATTTCTCTAAGTCTCCAACTATTCCATCCACTCCCTATCCTTTTTTCATAGCCAATAAGATGGCCGTATCTTCCTCCAGTTTTACGAAAGCATACTTTACCCATCTGTCATTCGCCTTGACTGACAGTTTCACTTGCATGTCAACTTCTGTATTGTCCTTGTTTATTTACGTGTCTATGACTTGCTTGACGTCATTCTCCTGCGTTGTTTCGTCTATGTCTAGGATCATTACGGTTCGCCTTTTCTGCCGTGTGCCTACCTTTGCTAGAGTCTCCATTTTGTTTTTGAGAAGTTCTTTGAAATGCTGTCTTGTTTTCTCCTCGTTGCAATTTTTCGTAACTTGAACTTCGCCTTTGCTTGGTATTTTTTCTACGATGACCCCTTTGGTGTCAACTTCTTTTTTCATGCTTTTAATGATGTCTACGTACGTTTTCCCTTCAGTGGGTTTTAGGATTATGGTCTCTTCATTTCTGGTCCTTTTGTATGTCGTGTCGGTCCTAGCTGTGTTATACGTTCTATGTCTGCTTATACGAACTTTCGTGTGGGAATCCATTTTTCGGCATGTATATTCAAGCAGCTTTCTTATTCTGATATCGTTTACATTACCATTTATCGAACTAGTGGGCATGTTTCTTCCTTGGGTCGTGGCGGTGGTCATAACCGTCTGTAGGTTTTTTATTATTGCCATTTAATTTTTCGGCGTTTCTCCACCGTTTTCCGTCATGATGATATATGAAGTTCTAGTCATCTTTTAAGGTCAGGTCATTTCTCATTATGGTGGAAGCGGTTTTGCTGTATACTATGTTGTCTTTTTGCAACTCACCACTTTCCATCAACCGTCTTAGATTCGGGTTTTTCTCCAGACATGGGAAGTATAGGGGCCTCAGTGTACAAAAATTCAGGTGTGAAATACATACAGGTAGCCGTCCACTGGCTCTTAGGGTATGGTCAGTTATTAACCGACTACTAACCGCAAGTAACCAGGATTTTTTGACAGCGGTTCCTGAAAAAAAACTAATTTCTTGGTTACTTTTCATTGATCTGGCAACCTAGGGATACGACATGCTACGAAAAGTGAGACCGGTCCGCCATTACTGTGAGTGCAAATTGTCAAATTTTATAGGTTATATTTTTAGTGTCATTTGTGTAATTAAATTTGAATTTAATTTGTGTTTGTGCAAATTTTGAGTGTTAAAAACTTATAAAGTATGTAATGCCTTACTGTGTTATACGTTCCTGCTCCAGCGATAGACATTTTTGTGAAAAATCGACTGGAATAACGTTTCATAGGTTAGTATCAAAATTATAAATATTATACAGGACAGTATTATGACAGGTTTGTATAAAATGTGTAAAAGTATGCTTTTAAAAATGCAAAAAAAATGATCTATCAACTTTTGGGCCCACCTATATTGGAATAAATACTTTTTCATACGAAATAATATTTATAGATTTCCAAAAAATCCTGAAAAACGTAGCGCGTGAATACAGTTTGTCAAGAAGCATAATTGGGAACCTTCTAAATTCAGTTATATATGTTCCAAGCATTTTCTTGAGAAGTACATTAATCGTACGCTATTTCGTTTATCAGATTTATAGGAATTTTATATTCTTATTTCTATTTAAATATAACCTACATTTGCGGTCCTTCCACCAATTTTATTTATTAGTTCTACTGCTGATTTAAAAGTAGAGCTTCATGTTTTGTGTATGCTTGAGTATTGTTTGTTTTATTATAGTTAATTTAAAACAATATTAATATACCTTTTTACTTACCTATAATTTGTTTCAGATTAGTGCATTTAATGGAATTGGTGAAAATGAAGCAATTCGCCAGCTTTGGGGATGTGCCAGTAAAAGTGACATCGAAGCAACGTTTCCAGAATAAAGTATTAAGGAACATGGTACTGCCAAAATACTGATCTTCATCGGAACCTTAAAGTGGAGACTGTTGAAAATACAATACAAACATTTGCCAGTAGTCACCAACGACTGCTCCAACATGGAAACCTCGAGATTATCCAGCTCCTCAACAATGCCAATCTAATAAGAAGACTCAAGAGAATCAAGCCTTTTGAGTTAGTTCAGTGATGTTAAAGCAGAGTATAGTGCAGTTAAGTAATTTAGACTCTAAGGTATATTAGAGAGTAGAATATCGGTTTGTGAATTTTTTCATCCCTTGATAAGTTAGAATAAAATTTCTAATTGATCTTAATGATTAGGTTGTAATAATCGTAAATGTTTCTTTACTTGGGGCATTTAAAAAAAAAACTGTTTCAAATTAGTGCATTTAAAGGACTTGGAAATGAAGTGATTCGCCTTTATATTTTATGAAATAATGTTTAAAAATTATTTATTTGTTTGTTTTAAGAATCAATGTTTGAATTTTGTGTATTTTAAATAGACATGTATATTTATATGTCTTTTTTAGTCTAATAATATTTAAAAAAAAGCTAGAATTTCCGAAATATTACTATTTAATATCTCTAAAAGATTTCTAATTTTTATTTCAGAAATATTACTGTGAAATATTATATTTACAGGATTTTTTTTCGTTTCAGGCACATTTCAGAAATGTTTCAATGTAATATTTTTGAAATATTTTCGAAATGTGTTTGTGCTGTATTGGAAAGTCCTCAAGAATAAATTAATATCGAACAATGCATTAAGATGGTGCTTCTCATTCTTTTATTCCTAGAATAATATCTGCTAAGCGACTTAACATATCTCTCCCACAGAATTTAGTAGTTATGTTTAGATTTTTCATTAATTATTATTAATAATTAATATGTACATATTTTTAATTAACTTACCTATTATTATTTAGGATTTTATTATTATTTAATAACTGTAATATGTATTATTGTATTGTTTTAATGGGCTCTGGCCCATACATAAATAATATACCTCCATTCAAAAATAAAAAAGTATTTTCTGTAGTACGAATTTGAACACTAATAAAGTCAGTTAAAAAATAGTTTTTAAAACACTTTAACATTTAAACATTATAAATTCATAATTATATTTAATTTTGTTGACATTAAAATGTTATTGACCTGTTTATTTAGTAATAATACCACGAGTGCTATCAATATAAGCATGGCTTCGCTGATTTACTGAATGTCTTGCATGAAGATATACACCTTTCAGTCTGAATCTACAAAAGTACCAAGACCAAGTAAGATTAATCCACATTTTGATTTCCTGAATAGTGCATCTACCTACACAGAGATTGCTTATTAGCCATTTTCCGCGAGCTTTGCATTAAGTTTCGTATCTGATCATCGAGCTTTTAGTGTATGAACATTTGTTCTTAATTTCGAGAAAGCTGTTAATTAAAGTAAGGTTAGATTACTTGACATTTGCGACTTTGTACTTTCCGATTTAAAGACAGAAGCATTGGGCTCATAGAAAAATAAAAAACTAAATATTGGGCTATTTATGTGCCCTAGTGCAAACGTGTGACGACTGATCCAATAAATCGAACTCTGTTTACTTTTGTCGCTTATGTGAACCAAAAATGTACTATTTATTTTTTCTGTGAATGATTTCAACGCTTTAGGGTTAATTTCACCAGTGTGTTAAAGTTTAAACTATTAATTGAGGATTAAAATTACATTTTATGTAAAAATGTCATTTTAAACTTCGTTAAACCCAATGGTGGAATCGGCCCCAAGTTAGTTATATCATGGTCATTGATTAGTTGCAATTTTGCAAATAATATATTCTCCAGTGCTTAAAAGCCACTTGAGTGATAATTAAATCAGTTATATTTTATTTCTTTCATTTACTTTATTCAGCACCTTTCGGCTGAAAACCGGGCATATTTAAGCTTTAAACCCCCTTCTTTTATAACCTAGGCCTTCCACTACCTTTTAAGTCAATGTCAATAAAAAGGAAATTTATTTTTTTATAGTTCAAATAATGATATTTAACCAGAAATAGTACAATAAAAACTTGTAAATCCGATTCTGCTCTTCCGCCATTTTAGTGAGTGCAAAAGCCACGCCTACCGGTCCCACTTTTGTATATCAAAAATAATACATATGACATATCCTTACGTTGCCTTATCAATGTTACTTTTGGACCACGGCCGATATAGACGATATTTACGTCACTTTTGTGACAGATTGACATTCGACTTAAAATATAGCGGTTAGTAAATTGACGGTCACCATTTTTCAGGTAACCGCGTCCCTACCGATTTTTCAGCAATGTCAAGTAGAGCGATTAGTTTTGGACCCAGTAACCGATATTTCGGTTAATAACGGACCATACCCCAAAACTAAAAAGCGCTGCCGCGGTTGACATTTCATCGTCACTGATTGCATTACATGTTTGACGGTCATTATTTTTTATTTTATCAGTAAACATAAGTATGGTATATCCGGAAATATAGTATCTTGCTTTCTTGATCTATCATAAAGATAAATAACAAGCAGTAATTATTGTATTGTTAAGAGATTATTTACGAACCCAAAATACAGGGCCACTTTTCAGTTAATAATATATTGACAAAGTCTATAATGTTTTCAAGTTAATGATTATGGAGTGTAGAGGAAAGGAGGACAATCTCATACGGTTGTTTATCTCAAAAAGTGTCCCCCAAAATGTATAAAATTAAGATGGCGCTCGTGTACTAGAAGGTAAAGATCCAATGATATATAGTTATATAGATAGCTCACCCATATGTAAATCAGATGACGAAAAGCACTATTATTGTCTATTATCAAAATTTCTCTACGCGATTTTAAGCTCAGTTGCTCCTCACAATGGCTTTTCATGATGTAGTTTTTAATTTTTAGGCTATACCCTTCGAGCATATACCCTTACCTCTACACTCCATACATATGGGTGAGCAATACATATAATTCATTAGTGTCATTGTGTGATCTGAATTACCGACTCTCGACGTCCCTCTGGTACAGAAGCGCCATCTTAATTTTATACATTTTTGAGGGACACTTTTTATATGCAGAGATAGTTTTCCTTATCTCTACACTCTATATTAATGATTTAATGCTGACATACTATATTATAATGTAGTACGAGGTACGTTTTTTATTTAACTGACGTTTCTGTTTTCGAAAACTATGTTGATTTAAGTCTTGATAATAAGAAAATTATTTAATAAATTACAGTAACTCTATTAATTTTTTTAAGTAATTTTTCTATATAATTTAATTAATTTATAATGATTTTAAGTAAATACCCTGTTATTTATGAAAAACATTTTATGTAAATCCCTTCTTCTTTTTTCATTACAAACAAATAAGTATTTACTGTTTTAACTAATTATAATTTTATCGTTCATAATCTAAAGTCGTTAACATTACATTATTGAAAAGATAAATATCTTAGAATTAAAAAATTTAAAGTAAATATTAAATTTCAAAATCATTTCAAATATACCTACTATATGTATTCGTGATTAAAATTAAATTTCGCGCATCTATAAGTAGGATAATTGTTTGTTTACATTGTGTTGGTTTTGGGCGGGATTTTGTATTTGTGATTTTTTTAACTGTTTTTAGATAATATTATTATTATAAT